CCCACTTCTCACTGTCATCTCCCCCAGACATTTAAAGTTTCTAACTCCATTCCCGTTCTGTTCCATTCACCGTATTGGGAGGGATCCCATTAAATCTTGAGTCAGGCCACCTTCCTCATGCTCAGAGCTCTGCCAGGGTTCTGATCTCACTCAGATTGAAAGTCAAAGGCTTCACAGGGCCCTCCTCATTTCTCTGACCTCTCACCTCCTACCACCTCCCACACACACACACATACACACATACACACACACACTACTCCAGCCACACTGGCCACCTCTGTGTTCCAGGCACAATCCAACTTCAGGGCCTTACCTTGGTATTTACTTTCCTCTTAGAGTTTCACAACCACACACACTGATAACCTCACCTGGCCAGGTCCTTACAAGTCCCCTTTCTTACCTCTCTCATAGTACCCTGTGCTTTTCTTCACCACAGTTTGTAATTGTTAGTTTATATATATTTTATTGATTTTAGAAGGAGAGAGAGAGACATCAATTTGTTGTTTCAGTTATTTATGCATCCATTGGTTGATTCTTGTATGTGCCCTGAGGATTGAACCTGCAACCTTGGTGTATCAGAATGACGTTCTAACCAACTATACTCCCCAGCCAGGGCATAGTTTATACATTTATTGACTGTCTCTCCCACTAGACTAGGAGATGTGACCATGACTTATTCATGCTATACACACATCACTTAAAGCACTATTAATGTTAAGAAACATTTATTGAGGAAATAATAGCAAAAACATAACTTTTTATTCATTCTTCTCTGTTCAGAATCTTCCTATGATTTACACCTCATCCAGAGTTAAAGCTGATGTCCTTACAACCTATTCCCATGTGACCCCATTACCTACCTCTCTGACATCATCTCCCACCACTCTCCTTAGCTCATTCCACTCAAGCCCCACTGACTTCCTTGCTGTTCCTCAAAAACACAAAACATGGTCCCACCCCAGAGCCTTTGCACTGGCTGTTCCCCCTGCTTGGAATGCCCCCCCACCTGTTATCTGCATGGCTCATTCCTTCACCTCCTTAACTTTAAAAAAATGTTTTTATTTTATTGATTTCTTAGAGAGAGAGAGAAACATCGATGAGAGAGAATATCGACTGGCCGCCTCCTGTGCATGCCCCCCACTGGGGTTCGGGCCCACAACCTGGGCATGTGCCCCAACCGGGAATTGAACCAGTGACCTCTTGGTGCATGGGTCAACACTCATCCACTGAGCCACACCGGCTGGGCCCTCCTTAACTTTTTTTAAAACATTTTTTTATTGATTTTAGAGAGAGAAGAACGGAAAGGGTGAAAGAGAAACATCATTCAGCTGCCTCCTGCATGCCCCCTACCAGGGATCAAGCCCAAAACCCAGGCATGTGCCCTGACCAGGAATCAAAACTGCAACCCCTCAGAGCATGGGGCGATACCCAACTAACTGAGCCACACAGGCCAGGGCTCCTTAACTCTATTCCAATGTCTTTTTTTCAGTGTTGTCTTCTCTGACTACCCTACTTACTATATTAACCTTACTTCCTCTACTGGCACTCCAAAACCCCTCACCCTGGTCTACTTTTTGTGTTTCCATTTTACTTATTATGTCACCTTGTGTTATGCTAGATAACTTTATACATTATGGCTATTGTTTGAAGTCTGTCTCCCATGCTAAAATGTAAGCTCCACAAAGATGAGAATCTTGGTTTGCCTCAATATAGTTTATAACCAATGACTAGAGCAGTTCCCGTTAACAAAGTTCTTTGGATTAGGGGGATGAGGACCATAATTTCTTTGGTACCTAACCTAGTGGGGCAAGGTATATCTTCCCAGCAGGAGCAGCTGGGATGAAGTTGACTCCAGGACTCTGGGTGAAGGAAAAAGGAAGAAAAGCCATGTCAGGCAGAGGGTAAAGCCAGGGCAAAAGCACAGAAGCCCAGCCCCTCCTTAAAGGTACCACCTGTATCTGGACCCCCTCTCCTTTCTGTGTCTTTTGTCTCCACAGGTCAGTGCAGCCCAGGAGGACCCCATGGGTGGGGCAAGAGCTCAGGAGAAGGCCTGCCCCCCTTCTCACCCCTACACCCCAGGTCTCCATCCCTCAAGCCAGGAGACCCTTAACTGTATATATATATATATAATTTGTCTGTCTGAGCCCTGCCCCCACTCCCCTCCCCTCATGCATTAGGGCCCCAATCTTTAGTGGGTGCCTCTCTTATCCTTAGCCCTTTCCCTGCATCCCTTGGCCCCTCTCTGTGCCCTGAAGTTGGGGAAGAATCTGAAACAGGGACAGGGAGGAGACAGAGCTTGGCTGTGTGGTGAGGGTGGGCTTGACTTCAGACTCTCTCCCCTATTTCCCTCCCCTCCTCCCAACTCTCTGGCCTTGATTTCTCCAGCAATGTTTGAACAATGGCCATTACAAAAAATTCAACCCTGAGTGGGGGGGGGGGAGACAGAGATTGAAGGACTTGGGACGCAAGGTAGTCTTGCAGAGGAGCTCTGGGGTGGAGGGGACTAGTAAGCAGGGAGGTTGATTTCCAGACATACTGAAAGTGGAGTCCAAAGGAGAGGGGAGCCCTAGAGCATTCTGGAAAGGAGCTTGGAAGGAGGCTGTGGGTGAGTTTCTAGGAAGATTGCAGCTTTGACTGCGATCCAGAGTGGTCAGGACTTGTAGTAGGACTTGGTTCTATGGAAGGGGTGTGACTTGGGGGACCTGGGGACAGAGTTTGGAAGAACCCTGAGAGTTCTAGAGGGAGTGGGGTTTGAACCAGGCTTGGGTGAAGCTCCAGAGTGGGCAGGTCTTGGATTGGGACCAGAGTCTATGGAAGGGGTGTGGCTTGGAACATTCTGGAGATTGAGTTTGATTCTAAAGCAGGCTGCTTGGAAGGGTGATTCAGTAATAGGCTGCACCTGGGATTTCAGAGTGGACAGCCTGCCCCACCGCCTCACAATGGAGCAGTAAAGAAAATATGTTTTAAAGTTGGGCAGGTTTGGCAGTGGCTAGGGCCTGAGGGATGGGTTTTGTTAGGGATGAGGGAGAATATCCCTGGCAAAGTCTAGGGACTGAGGGGGCCTGGGGAGACTGAGAGGTATGGCTTCGAGGGTCAGAGGTGGGATCCAGAGAGAAGCTCCCACATATACCCTTGCCCAACCCCAGGACGGAACAGATAGGTAATCAGAGGACAGAGCCAATGGGCCTGTGGGGCTGGCCCACTCCTCTCCCCCTCTTCTCTTGCCTCCTCCCTCCCTCCACACCCCCACCCATCCCTGGATGGTTGGAGGACGGTCTGGAGCCCCTATCCTACACCTTCTGCTGTGTCTGTGATGTTGGTAGTGCCTGTGACCGTGTGTTGCCATTTAGTCAGGCTGTGGCCCTTCTCCCTCCCCTCCAGACCCCCATCCTTTCCCTTGCCCTTTGGTATTGTTTGAAGACTCCCTCAGAGGAAGAACAAATATGATTAATTATCTTCCCCTAAATAAACTCCTCAACCACCTATTACACCTGGCCTCGAACTTCTTAGTGTGTCTTTTTAGGGGGACACAAAGGAAGAGATGGAAAAGAGGTGAGAGAAAGCTCCACCACTGACCTGCTGGATGCGGTTCAAGTCACCCCACCATTTTAGGCCTCTCCAACAGTGTTAGACCAAGCCCGCATCGTCGGTGAAGCCTTGCCGGCAGACCATTGTAAATCATGCTCTGAGTAGCCCTGAGCAATGCCCCACTACTGGCCACAGAAAGCTCTGTCTTTCAAGGTTTCAGTTCTAAGTTTGGTCCATTAGCCACGTGCCTGCCCCACCCTGTCCTCAAATCCTCAAGGGGTTCGAATAAGACCCCATACTTTACAGGGAGACTTCCCTTTACCCACATCCCTCGAACTTTTCAGACCCTGTTGTCTCTTATTTCCTTGCCTCCGTCCCCAGCTGAAAAACCCGGAGACCCGGTAGGCTGCAAGACCGGCAGGTGGGGCGCCGGGGCGACTCGTTATTCATTCATTCCTTCCCTTTTATCGCCCCCCCCCCCCAGGATCCTCCCTGGAGCAAAGAGAGGCAGGAAGTGACAAAGATGTGCGTAATGGGGCGGGAGGGGGGCCTGGAAATCCCTGGCGCCTGCGATGAAAGGCCCCGCTGACCGCCGCCTCTGCCGTGCCTAATTAGAGACCCCGGCCCGGCGCCCAAGTTCTGACTGCTGGCGGGGAACCCCCTCCTACCAGCCCCGAGGCACAGTAAAGCCTGAAAACACGAAGGAGAGACTCCCAACTCTGAGACTGAACTCAGGGAATGGGATATCTAACTGGAGAGAGAAAAATGGGAGCAGGGGAGAGAAGGCTATTAGACGTTCTCAGGATTTAGGAGTCATGACAGCTGGGCCTGAAAGAATGGGGAGGGAGAGGGGAACAAGGCATGGGAACCTGGCCAGTGACTTTAACCTCATCCTCATAAATCTCAACTAATCCTAGTTCTGAAGGGATAGGAGTGAGGCTGTGGCGGGGGGGGGGGGGGGGGGGGGGGGGGGGGAGTAAGATCTAGCTCTCTGATGGGGGCGAGGGAGCACCAGCTAGGGCTGCGATGGAGTTGGGGACCATTCTTTCAACATTCATACCAGGGGAAAAGTCCTTCGGAACATCGCCAGTGGGGAAGAGGCCAAGAAGTGACTTTAACCCCTCCTCCAAATAAGCATCCTAGATAAATGGACGAGAAGCGCCAATACAAGTACCCTAGCGCACCACCCCCTTGCAGTCAGATCGCCACTTCCAAGTCTCCTCCACTGTAGAGTTCTCAAGCCCTAGAATGTCCTCTGAGAGGCCACGTGGCACCTTGAGTTTCTGGGGCGCGTGGCAGCAGGGCAGGAGAGCTCTCCCGCACAGCGCTCCTAGGATGCGTGCCCTTCACCTCTAGGCAGGGGGCGCCTTGGCCCGGGAGAGACAGCAGGCGGAGGGGCGGGCGCTGAGGGGCGCGCTCCTCCCCCACCGGTGTCAGGTTTACGGAACAGAGCTTCCAGACAGGACGCGCGGTGGCCTGACGGCCGCGAGGATTCCTTTCGCTTGACCCGGCCCGTCTTGACCCTGTCCGGGCGCGCCATGTTCGCGCGTGGGTCCCGGCGGCGCCGCTCCGGGCGCGCGGTGAGCGAGATTCAGGGCAGCGGCGGGGTCAGGGGGTAAACTGAGACCCAGGAGAGGGGCAGAGGGTAGGGATAGCGAGGAGGCACTCCACAGAGGGTTTGGGAACCCCTAACCCCAGAATTCCCAGACCTGAAGGGCTGGGGCTGCTGGAAGAGTGTGGATGAAGGAACGTGGAGATCTGGTGGCCCACGCTCCCTAGTCACCTCTCCGCACACCTTTATCAGCACCCCCAAAGACCTGGTGTGCTTCTCTCATGTGAATTATAGGAGGGGATTCTGAGGGCCAAAAGATTGGGTCTTGGGTTTCTGGATTGAGCAGGGGCTTTTTGAGTTTCTGAGGGGAGGGACCTTGGCGGGAGGTGAACTGAAGAGTGAGATCCTACCCTCCAGGGGTGCCGGAATACCGAGAGTCAGTCCAGGGATTGGATATGGGGTAAGAGGGCTTCCAGGTTTTCACTTGAGCAGGGAGCTTTTGACTTCATAGATAGGAGGGTCTATCTCTTCCTTTGGCGGGGGTCTCTAGGTGGGTTCTGGGTTTGGTGGTCCAGAGGAGTGAATAGCCCTAAGATATGAGGGGTAAGGGCCAAGGCTTCTTGAGGCAACATTTCTGAATGGATCAGGGACCTCCTGAGTTCCTGGAGGAGGATCTCCAGCTCCTTGGGTGAAACCAGGGTTTGGGGGAGGGGTTCATGTGTGGATCCCAGGTAAGAATGAGATCTCAAACTACTACCCCATAGAACTGGAGTGCTGCTGGCCTCGTGGGTGGAGAAGGGGCCGAAATGAGGCCTGGGAGAGACACCCAGATTAGGGACTCTGTGCCCTGAGTTCTGGGGGAGGTGTTTGAGGCCTGGAGGAGTCAGGCTGGGGGGGAGGTGTCCTGGCTGGGTGGGAGGAGTAGGAGGCTGGCCTGGGGAGGGGCACTCCTTGAAAAGGAGGCATAGAGGGAGTTGGCCTCAGCTGCCCCACCTCTATCTCTGTTGTGTCCCCCTCCCCTGAGCTCCGGGTGCTGTCCCAGCCTGCCCAGCGCTGCCCTGGTAAGACAGGCCCCAGCGTGCGGTATGGGCCTTGAAGTGGAGAGGCGGGCATTGACTTCTCCCTCCCCGCCCCGCGTCTGGCCGGGTCCCGCGTCTACCCTCGCCCACTACAGCCTCCTGAGGCAGAGGACCCAGACCGTGGACAGCCCTGCAACTCCTGCAGGGAGCAGTGCCCTGGCTTCCTGCTGCATGGCTGGAGGTAGGTGACCATTCCAGGGCCTTGCCTTTGTCAGGGCTCCGCCCTCAGGGGGGAACCCCTAGAGAATTAGACCACGCCCCTTGGCTGAAGCGCGATCCACAGAGGAAGCTCAATCTGGAAAAGAGCCTCATGCTCTGATTCAGAGCCCAGCCACCTGACTCATTCCCTATTGTCCGGTTCCCAGGAGAGCTCCACCCACGACATAGCCCCGCCCCAGAAGTGTCCTTCCTCCTGACTCTTATACCTAGGGAAGTCTTCCGTCCTGGGCTCTGAGCACCGCCCACCGACCTCCAGCCATCTTCTTGAGTTAGGAATTCCTCTCCCAGATCCCTGTGCCCTATCCTCCTACTGGAGCCCGGTAACCCAAAACATCCCATAACATACTACAGACAGAGCCCCATCGGAAAGTTCCGAGGCTCAGCACACGCTAGAGCCCACCTCAAGAGGAAAGTTTCCCCAAAATGTCCAGAGCTCATCCTGAGGGGAAAGCCCCTAGATGTATAACTCCAATCTCAGACTCAAGCCCAAGTCCCAGAGCTGAAAGTCATGGGCTGGCCTTGAGACACCACAGCTCCATCTCTTCACCTCCTCCACCCAGGCCCAGAGTCCTTTGGTGGTGATAACCTGCATGTCCCTGCCCCTCAGTTGGACTTCCTTGGGCTGTCAAGGGGTCCAAGTGGGTTACCCCTTAATAATTGACCCCTATCCTGGCCCCCTCAGAAAGATCTGCCAGCACTGCAAATGCCCTCGGGAGGAGCATGCCGTGCACGCAGTACCTGTGGACCTGGAACGCATCATGTGTCGGCTAATCTCAGACTTCCAGCGCCACTCCATCTCAGATGATGACTCAGGCTGTGCCTCAGAGGAGTATGCCTGGGTGCCCCCTGGTCTCAAGCCAGAGCAGGTGACCAAAAGGCACCACCCACTGTTGCTCTCCAGTGGGTGCACACACACACACACACACACACACACTCAAGTGAAAACCTATTTCTGGGACAACACTAGGGTGTGTGGTCAGACTGCGCCTGTCTTTCTGACCCATCTGTGATCTAGGGGTGATTAACCCCCCAAAACTTGCAGGAAACCCTGAGTGATCACTGGGCCAATTCCTCAGGGCCTATTCACCCCACTCCTGTTATACCCCTTACCTTAGGGCTTATCTTAGCACTTCATTCACCACATCTCCATTGATTAATTCATTCAACAGTTATTGAGCACCTACTGCATGTCAGACACTATTCCAGGCACTGAGGACACAGCAGTGAACAAAACACACAAACTGTGTATATATATGCCCACATGGAGGTTAAATTCCTGAAGGGAACAACAGCCAATAAGCAAACCTGTAAAAAATATGTCAGATGGTGTAAGGTCTGTGGAATAAAAAAAAAAAAAAAAAAGCAGGGAAATGGGGAGGGGGTTAGACAGAGATGTTAGGATTGTAAATAGGGTGCCCAGGTAAGCCTCTGTGAGAATGTGATGTTTGTGCTTCCTGAAAGAGGTGAAGAGTAAACCATGCAGAAATCCTAGGTTAGACAGGTCCAGGAAAATGGAATCATTAATGCAAAGGCCTTGAGGCAGGAGTGTGCTTGGTGTATGTGAGAAACAGTGAAAATACCAGTACACTGGAGTAGAGTGAGCAACAAGAAGAGTGATTGGATGTGAGGTCAGAGAGGTGGTGAAGGTCATGGAGAGGACTTGGATTTCTACTCTGAATGAGGGAGAAGCCACAGAAATTTGTGAGCAGAGAAGGGATATAACTTGTCTTAGGATTTAATGGGATCCCTCTGGCTGCCAAATGTAGAACAGACTGGAGGAGTGAGGTTGGAAGCAAGGTACCAGTGAAAGGGAGGCCACTTCAGTAGTCTAGGTGGCTGATGATGGTGCTGGCAGTGGAAGTAATAAGTGGTGGTCAGATTCCAGTTATATTTTGAAAGTAAAGCTGAGAGATTTACTTGTGGGTGTGAGAGAGAAAGGAGTCAAATATTACCTTAAGGATGAATGGATTGACTGATATGGATCAGGCCAAGGCAGGAACATATTTGAGGTCTATGAGCGTAAGTTTGGTTTGGGCATCTGAAGTTTGAAATGCTGTTAGACATCTGAGTGGCCACTTTAATTGGAACTCAAGGAAGAGATCATAGAGTTGTAGGCATGCATTTGTGAGGCATTAGCCATGAGATGGTATTTATAGTCATGAAGTTGGATGCGATTCCCAAGGGAGTGAAGGGAGACAGAGGCAAGAGGGCCAAGGACTGAGCCGAAGGACCCTCCCACATTTAGGGGTCAGTTAGTTGAAGAGGAACCAAAAGAAGAACAGCAGGAGCAGCCAATGGGTTTCCTTTTGGTAGGAGGAAACCCAGGACTGTGTGATGTCCTGGAAGCCAAGGGAACACAGTGTTTCCAGGAAGAGGGAGTCATCAGCTGTGTCCAGTACTACTGATGGGTCAAGTTGGATGAGGATTGAGACCTGAACAATGACTTTAACAATGTAGACGCCATCAATGACCCTGACAGGAATTTTAGAGGAAGGGCAGGGAAGGCTGACTGGAGTGGGGTCTAGAGAGAATGGGAGGAGAGGAAGTGGAGACAGTGAGTGCACACAACCTTTTTGAGAAATTTTGTTGTAAAGGAAAGGAGAAAAGTAGAGCACTAGCTGGAGGGGAAAGTGGGGTCAAGACATGAGGGAACTCTTGGCATGTTTGGGAGGTGACAGAAATTATCCAGATGTAGGAAGAAGAGATGTAGGTAGTCAGTAGACATTTCCTTCTGATTACTAGTTTTCTCAGAGAAGTAGGGACCCACCATCCCATTGCATTTCAATCACCCCTAGTCTTAATTGTTTTCTCCCATTCCCCATGTCTTCCCAGGTATACCAATTTTTCAGCTGCCTCCCAGAGGACAAGGTCCCCTACGTCAACAGTCCCGGGGAAAAATACAGGATCAAGCAGCTGCTGCACCAGCTGCCCCCACATGACAGTGAGGTGAGGAGAGAGAAGCAGGAAAGGCATGCCAGGTAGGGCACACGGACTGGGCAAATGCCTTGCAGCTGGAAAGATATGGGAGGATCAGAGGTGAGCTGATCTGAGGTGAAAGGTCTGGAAGGGCAGGGGCAGTCAATGAGCATTCCTTGGCAAAACCACAGCTGGGACTTGGGAGAGGAGGTCAGAGACGGGTATTTCAGGCAGGAAGCACAATCTATATAAAGGCATAGAAGTAAACTTTTTGAGCATGGATGAAATTTAAAAGAGGGTCGGAGGGCAGACATCAGGGGAGGAGCCTGGATGACCCTCACTACCCCAGGCGCAGTACTGCACCGCACTGGTAGAGGAGGAGAAGAAAGAGCTCAGAGCCTTCAGCCAACAGCGGAAACGGGAGAATCTGGGGCGTGGCACTGTGCGCATCTTCCCAGTGACCATCACTGGGGCCATCTGTGAGGAGGTGAGTCATGGAGGGCTTCGGGAAGTGAGTGGTGCCTTTGCTTCAAGCCCTGGGGTGCAGGATCCATATCCCTATCCCACTGTTAGGCAGGGACCACCTCTAAGGTCTTCCTGGCCAGCAATGTCTGTGTAGGGCCCCCTGGTGGATGGGGCCTGTCCCTCAGATCCCACTGTTGGGTGCAGTCTGTCTCTAAGGAGGCCCCAATGGACCTTCTCTATTAGTTCCCTGCCCTCCACACACTGGATGTGGGGCTCTCTGTCTGGTCCTCTTGTGGTAGAGACTTTAAGAACCCAGCCACAGTGGCAGGGCCTGTCTCTAGAGCCTGTTGATGGGTGGAATTTGTCTCCAAGGCACCCCCCTGGTGGGTAGAGCCCGACCTTATATCCTACTAGGTGAGGTCTGTTGATATGGTTCCCCCACTGGCCCTCGCCTATCTCTATGGTTTCACCAACCCCAAAAGGGCAAGACTTGCTTTTAAGGCCACCCACAATGAGTAGGGCCTGTCTGAAGGTTTCTCACAGGAGCAGCGTCGGTTTCTAAGGTACTTTCCTCCCCCATGTAGGCAGGTCCTGTCTCAAAGTTACCCCATGGGTAAGGCCAGTCACAAAGGTCCACCATGGGGAAGGCCCAAGTATGATACACATCTTGGCTGATCCCCATCTAACCATCTTGGTGAGGGTGACAGTGTCTATCTGTCATCTGGCAGTGCGGGAAGCAGATTGGAGGTGGGGACATCGCAGTGTTTGCCAGCCGAGCAGGCCTGGGTGCCTGCTGGCACCCCCAGTGCTTTGTGTGCTCCACGTGCCAGGAGCTGCTGGTGGACCTCATCTACTTTTACCATGCTGGCAAAGTCTACTGTGGTCGTCACCATGCCGAACGTCTGCGCCCACGCTGCCAAGCCTGTGATGAGGTGATGCCTTTCTGTCCAGGGGAGGGAATAGAGGGTGGGCAGGGCCAGGGAAGGCCCTGCTGACAGCCACACATGGCCTGCGCCCCCCAGATCATCTTCTCCCCTGAGTGCACAGAGGCTGAGGGCCGGCACTGGCACATGGGTCACTTCTGCTGCTTCGAGTGTGAGGCATCGCTAGGAGGGCAACGCTATGTCATGCGTCAGAGCCGTCCCCACTGCTGCACCTGCTACGAGGCCCGCCATGCAGAGTACTGTGACGGCTGTGGGGAGCACATTGGTGGGTGAACATGGCATTGGACAGGGGGTGGGTGAACAGCTGAACACAGCAGCCCCCTCACCATTCCTCCTGTCCTCCAGGCCCCATCCACCATTCTCTCCATACTTTCAGTCTAGCCCAAGTGCTATAGCCCTATACCCTTCACTGCAAGTCCCATCGGTAATACCCTCCATTCTACTGTACTTTCTAAACCCTACCTACACAGTACTAGGCTCCACTACACATCTAGGCCCACCTCCAGAGTGCCCTCTAATTCCCAGCACCCCAGGGCTGCCCTCTCAACCTAGTTCCTATGCCCCTAAGCTATATCCTATTCTCTAAGACTCTCCTCCATCCGCCTAGGTCAGAGATTTTCAACCGGTGTGCCACAAGAATTTTTAAAACATGCAATACCTGACAGGGGCACTGATCTTTTGTCCCTTAGATCGTCAAATAAAAAAAGAACAATAGCCCTGGCCAGTTTGGTTTGTAGGTAGAACGTCAGCCCATGGACCAAAGAGTAATGGGTTCCATTCCAGTCAAGGGCACATACCTCAGTTGCAGTCCCTGCAGGAGGTAGCCAGTCAATGTGTCCCTCTCACGTCGATGTTTCTCTCTCTCTCCTTTCCACTCTCTCTGAAGATAAATAGAAAAAATCCTCAGTTGAGGATTTTTAAAAGGACAACAGCCAACAACACAATATCCATCTGGTGTGAATGAATCAAAATTATACCTATTTTTTTGTAAGATCGGGGGAAAAAAGTTTGGTGTGCTGCAGAATTTTAGTAATTAATTTATGTGTGCCATGAGACGATAAAGGTTGAAAATCCCTGGCCTAGGTCCAACATACTTTCTTTTTCCTTTTTTTTTATCCTCACTCATGGGCATTTTTTCGTTTTTTGTTCAGATAGAGTGGGAGGGAGAGAGAGAGAGAAAAAAAAACATCAACGTGAGCCCTAGCTGGTTTGGCTCAGCGGTTAGAGCGTCGGCCTGCGGTCCGGAGAGACCCGGGTTCGGTTCCCGCTAAGGGCACGTACTTGGGTTGCAGTTTGTCCCCGGCCCTGGTTGGTCGTGCGGGTGGCAGCCACTCGATGTGTCCCTTCACGTCGATGTTTCTCTCTCTCTCTCCCTTCCTCTCTCTCCCTCCCACTCTATCTGTACAAAAAATGGGAAAATATCCTCGGGTGAGGATTTAAAAAAAAAAAAAAAATCAATGTGAAAGGGACACATCAAGTGGTTGCCACCCCCATGATCCAACCAGGGCTGGGGACAAACTGCAACCAAGGTACATTCCCTTAGCCGGAACCAAACCCGGGTGTCTCTGGACCGCAGGCTGACGCTCTAAACACTGAGCCAAACTGGCCAGGGCCCAACATACTTTCTAAGCCATACCCTACCCCCTATAATCCACTTCTTTCCCACCAAGGCCACGCCCTGCCTTCTAAGCCCTGTTAGGAGGACGCAGGCTTCTTGAAATCCACTCTCCTTCCATCTGAAGCCACCTCTTATTGCCTAAGCCTGACCCACGTCTTTGAGTCCAATGCCCACTCCCCACTCTGGGAGAGAGCACCCTGTGAAAGAAAGTGGGGGAGGAGGAGACATTTAAAAGCCAATTTTCAGGAGAGGAGGAAGAACCCTGCTGTGAGGACCAAACCTCGGATTTCCTTCTTTCTCCAGAGAAATGTCCCATGTTGGAGAGGTGGGGGGTGAAGGAGTCTGGGGCACCCTGTCTCAGATTCCTGCCCCCTTCCGCAGAAGGGCCCCATTCGGGCAAGGTGGGACATGCGTGTTGGCTCTGACTTATGTTCCCCCCTGGCGGTGTCCCCGCAGGCCTGGACCAGGGCCAGATGGCTTATGAGGGCCAGCATTGGCACGCCTCAGACCGCTGCTTCTGCTGTAGTCGCTGTGGGCGAGCCCTCCTCGGCCGCCCCTTCCTGCCACGCCGTGGCCTAATCTTCTGCTCTCGAGCCTGCAGCGTGGGGTCCGAGCGCACGGCTTCGGGGCCTGGCCGCCGAAGCTGGAGTGCGGGCACAGTCTCCACACCACTCGAAGCTTCCACAGCCTCTTTCTCTGCTGCGGAGGGGACTTCCGAGACCGCCACCAAAGGCACCAGCACTGAGGTAGAACCTGGTGAGTTAACCCTCGAATTCTTCTCTGCCACTTTGCGTCCCTACCCAGCCAGTCTCCCCCTTGCGAGTAACTTGCCCAGTCCCTTCACCTGCTGCAACCTTGGCCCCACCCCCAAGCAACCCCAGGTCTGGTTTGCACCCAAATTACACCCCCTCATGAACCCTGTCTGCTTACTTCTATGCAGGGCCCTCCCTTACTTCAATTTGTACCCACCTCAGCCCAAGTTCCACCTCCTGTTCTCCAAACCCTTGACCCTCCATCCTATCAAAAACCTAATCTGCCCAACCGGTGTGGCTCAGTGGTTGAGCATCCACCCGTACACCAAGAGGTCACCGGTTCGATTCCTGGTAAGGGCACATGCCCAGGTTACAGGCCAAATCCCCAGTGGGTGGCATGCAGGAGGTGGCCAATCAATGTTCTCTCTCATCGATATTTCTATCTCTCTCTCCCTCTGCCTTCTTCTCTCTCTAAAATCAATAAAGAAAAGAGCCCTGGCCAGTTTGGCTCAGCGGTTAGAGCGTCGGCCGGCGGACCAGAGAGACCCCGGCTCGGTTCTGCTAAAAAAATAAAAATAAAGAACATAAAGAAAACTTTTTTAATTACAAAAAACCCGAATCTGCTCCAGCCTATGCCACGCCTCTTCCATCTGAAGCCACGCCCCCTTACACCAATCCTGTCCTCCTGCATTCCAACCTCCCTCTCCCCTCCACTCTGAGTCTGTCCCAGGCCTCATATTTCCCGGATTCCCAACTTCTCTGCCCTTCTCTGACTCCTGCCCCACTTTCCCAGTCCTGATAGGGGAAAGGGGAAAGGAGAAGACAGGGCTCCTCTTGGAGGAAGCATATACATATAGGGACTCCCTTCATCTATCTTTCTTTCCAGCTGCAGGCCCCGAGGAGCCCACCCGCTTTCTGAGAGGGGCCCCTCACCGCCACTCCATGCCTGAGCTGGGGCTCCGCAGCGCCCCTGAGCAACCCCCTCGGACCCCCAGCCAGCTGGACCCTGAAGACGGTTCATTCAGTCGCCAAAGTGCCCCTCGTGTCAGCTTCCGGGACCCTCTGGTGTCTGAGGGAGGCCCTCGGCGGACCCTGAGTGCGCCTCCAGCCCAGCGCCGAAGGCCTCGAAGTCCCCCTCCCAGGGCCCCCACACGTCGCCGCCACCATCATCACCGCCACCGCCAGCCTGGCAGACTTCACCACCATCAATGTTACTTGGGCTCGGGGTCAGACTCAGAATCTTGCTCCAGCTCACCCTCCAGCTCCAGTTCAGAGTCCTCGGAGGATGATGGCTTCTTCCTGGGGGAACGCATCCCGCTTCCCCCGCACCTGTGCAGGCCTCTGCCTGCTCAGGACACTGTAACGAAGACCCCCAACTCTCCATCTCCACTGCCCCCTGAGAACTCGGGCTCAGGGATGTCTCGCCAGGCCAGAGACAAGAACTGCATAGTAGCTTGAAGGCGAGGCAGTTCTGGGGGGCTCCATTTCTCCATTCTCAAGTCAGTAGTTGACTTGAGAATAAATCTCCTTCCTTCCTCCCTCTGTTTTTACTATTGAAGTAACTTAATATTTGGTGTGAAACAGGCCTGTTTCTTTACCTCCTTGCTCCAGCTGTCCCTTCCCAATTTCCACCCTCCTGATACTTGAGATTTATCCACATTTGATCAAAGGATTAATTTATTCATTATCATATATTCTAACAATCTGTTTATTTATTTAGTTATATTTATACCTCCACAGAACCCCCCCTCCCCCCATGCTGAGGTTATTTGGAGTGGGTCACAACCTGGGGCCTGGAGTCTGAAATCTGAGGCACCATTCTCCCTCATTTTGTGGCTTAGGTGGGAGAATAGTCCTGACAGAACTGATGTCTGCATTTGGACACTTCAGAAGGGAGACCTAGGCACACCCATAAAGGTGGCCACACCCAGGAGGGTTGATTGGCAGACTGGAAGACAATCTCCTGATAAAGGCACTTTTACTTCAATAGGGGGCTGGGAGTTGGCTAGGAGTGTTTGTAGGGGTGGGGAGCAGTGATTTCAAGGGAAGTGTTATTTGCAGGTTGCAGAGAGAAATCAAGGAAGGTTCACCTACACCGGGCCATCTGCAGGGTCTGCAAGTGAGGAAGAGAGAAAGCAGTTTGGATCCATATGCCCATCTTACAAACAAGAATACTGAAGTTTATGGTACTTATTGGCACTAAAGCCATAAGTACCAATAAGGGACAGAGCTAGCATTCATGCCCTTGGGAGACCCCTTCCCTTCTCTCCTCTACCTCCTCAACAACACCCCCCTACACAGACACACACACAAACACACACACACACTACTTACCAGTAGGGGCTGGTGCATGTCTTTGCTGCCTCAAGGGAAAGGTGATATAGGCATCAAAGCCAAAGAGGCCCGAAGCGATTAGGCCCATCACCTGGGGGTGGGGTGGGAGTGAGGGGGGTTGGATTAGTCTGGTCAGCCTATTCAGCTTCATACCTCCTTATATCTACTACCACCAGTGACTGCCCCATGCAGGGATGGTGACTAAAGCCCCAGGTTGGGAAGCCAGAGCTCCAGGAAAAGGTCAGGAAACTGGACTCTACCCCTACTCTCCCTTCTCCTAGTACTGCTCAACACAGAACAACCACATGGTGGCCCCACATACAAGTGGCACCATTCACAGTGTACATTTGAGACAAAGTGCTAGCAGATGGCAGTCTAGAGTGTTGACAAAGATCTTGTGTCAGGCAAGGGATGGCCCTTTACAGCAAATGATCTTGGGAGGAAACCAGGGCCTGGGCAGACTTTCCTACAGACCCTGAGGACAAGTGTGGCCTACTGTGGGTCATACACTTTCTGCCAAAAGTAGAGACAGAAATGGCCCCTAGATCCTCAAATCTCTTTGCTTTGGAGCTGCCTCCACAGTCTTTACCCCAGCAACGATTTTGGAGTTGTTTCCTCTCTCAACGAGGACAACGATGGAGATGATCAGGTAGAGGATGGCCGCTACGAGGCCTCGGAAGAAATCCTGTAAGAGGTAGGGAGAAGAGGTTAAGTCAGTATCCAGAGTTCCCCGGACAATCCCAACTGCTGGAGCCCCTCCCGAGCATAGCCATTTCTAGCCCCTCTCTCACACTCCAAGGCCAGTTGATGATCTGTATCCTGGTGCTCAGGTCACACATGTAGATGACAAAGAAGACAGCAGCAAGGATCATCTCAACCACTGACAGAGAGAAGTATGCTGATGTGGAGGCGATGAAGCAGATCAGAATCACTAGGCACAATATCTGGAAGGATGACATAAGGAAGGGGGCCTCTATCAACTCCTGGGCTGAGGAGACTGGGTTAAAATCAGGGGTCTCAAACTCAGATGTCTACCAGAACTGGGAAGATGACAAATAATCACAGCTTAACACTTACTGTGTGCTCATTGTGTTCCAAATATTGTTCTAAGAGCTTACAAGTATTGACTCACTTAACATCCCAACAACCTAATAAACTGGCTACTGTTATCACTACCTTTATTTTATAGATGAGAAAAGTGCGACACAGAAACATTAAGTGACTTGCCCAGGGTCACCCAGCTAGTAAGGAGTAGAGATGGGGCTTCAGTTTTCCCCTTTTTTCTCTTCTAAGATAGGGGAGACCTGCGGGAAGTAGCCCCACCAGGTGTTTTGTGAGCAGTGCTGGAGCCAGCTTGGGGCCTTGACAGGGCTGGCTGGACGAGCAGTTACCCCAGCAACCCCTTTGGGAAGCGGTGAGAGCAACACCAGAGGGCAGGGTTCCGATTAAAGGCACCGAACCCCTTTTACAATTGACCCAAAGGTGGCACCCACTTTGAGGGGGCGGGGAAACCGAGGCTCCGGGGAAGCTGGACAGCTAGGGACCTCCTGTCCCAGCACAGAAGGGAGAGAAAGAACCGGAGAATGGCTGGGTGCCCTACCCTGCTGGACAAGCTCAGGGCTCCACCCCAACAAGTCCCGCCCCTGGGCGCGCCGCCAGCCCGCCAGACAGTGCCCAGGCCGCACCACGCCCTGCCACGGGAGGTCCTCCACCTCCCAACTCCCTGGAACCCTTCCATGAACCCACGGATGAATCCACGCGGTCTCCCTCCATGGCGTTTCCCATATGCACCATGGACCCCTGGCCTCATCCCGTGGCCTAGCGGCTCCAGACTACCTTCGCCAAACCTCCCTGACTCGCCCTGCGTCCCTGGTTTCGGGCCTCCGCCACTAACCCACTTCCCCCCGTCCCACTGCACAGGGTCCACTGCCACGCGCCTGCCTCACCCGGGGCCTCCCGGTTCCGCGCGATCCAGCCACTCCACCCCGCCTTTGCCCACCCGCCAGTCCAGGGACTCTCACAATCTCAGCCAACAGAAGAATTCCCTTGGGAGTACGCCCGAATTTGGTGCAGGCGGCCCAGCAGCCTGGGGCCGAGAAGCGCTCGGAATCCGCCATGGTGTGGGCCAGAGTCCCTAGGCGCGCGGACGATCTGTTCGCTTTCTCGCGGGTTCGAGGACACTGCACACTCAGTCGTCTTGCCCGCCGTCAGGCTGGGAAGGGGGCCCCCGGGGCGAAGGAGAGAGTGAATCACCGAGCCAAGCAGAAGCGGGCGGGACCTGAGGGGGCCGGGCCAGGTGGCTGCCGCCCCGGAAGCCCCCTTGCCCCACCCGCCAGGGATAGTCCCCACCCGGAGCACAGCCACTCGGGCGTCCCATCTCCGGAGGCGCCAGCCTTTGAGACTTGGCACTTCGGGGTACTTTGAATGGTAATGGTGAGACTCTTTGCCCTTTTAGAATACAAATGCTCCCGGGGAAGCCTCAACTCAGAACCAAGGGGAGCTTGCCTTTGCCTTTGGGAGAGAGTGACTGAATTTCTTTAGCTGTTTAAAAAAAAAATTGATCAAGGCTTTGGAATATTTCAATTTTTGGAAAAAACTTCCCAGTGCATATATGGTGTATTACTTAACACTCAGGGGGGGGGGGGGGGGTGAGGCTTCCCTGTTTAAAAAAAAAAAAAAGTTAATATTTTCTCCAGCAAAGACGTGGACTTTCATAATACATGGAGTAAGCTAGGACAAAAAATTGTGCCTCATTAAGTCAGGTCAGGTTTTGTAATAAATAGTTCCAAATTGTGGGGAAAGTGTTGGTTTCCAGAGGTTTGGGGACTTCAGAATTGTAGATAAAGGATCGTCGATGATGGAATAAACCTCTGAGCAGTGATTTGAATCAGACCACGGTGGTGCACAGGCCCAGAGACAACAGGGCTTGGTGAGCATCAAGCTGCTTAGTAAATGGGGCAAATATTATTATTTTTTTATCCTAATCCAAACCGGCCAGGGCAGGGGCAAACATTATTAACAGTGTCAGAGCCCAGAGTCTGTCTGATACTCTGCTCTACAAACCTAGGGAAGTCTAATTTTCTGGTTCTGAGGAAAGGGGCTATCAGTCTAGCCCTAGATGAAGAATGAAAAAGGAATATGGGTTTTATTGCTGGGAGCTTGGCAAGATGAGAGGAAGGCTCCTGGGGTGCCAGGCTGGGTGACAAGCCTGACAACATTTAGAGAATGTGTTACCCTGAGCAAATAATTTCTCCTGACTCAGCCTGGATTTCTGCGTGTGAGACCTGGTTTTGGGAATCTGGATCTCCCCCGAGATGTGCTGGGGGCACACTCTCTAGACTGGGCATTGGTTTTATTCTCTTCTTATTTGAGAAGGGGAGAGTCATGGCTGGAAGGCCAGGATAGCTCAACCCAAGGGCTTTCCTGCTCTTCATCCCTTAGCCCTGGGCCCCTCAAAACCAAAGAAGGGGCTCCCCTCTTTCAGCCCAGTGAAAGTGATTTGGTAGTGGAAGAGATGAAGCATACTTTTCCCAGTGTTCAGTATATGCTTTCCAACTGTGAAGACGTGCTTGAATTTCTAGAACATAACATACTCTGCTCTGCATCAGGGCCTTTGCATTTGATATTCCCGCTATTGCCAATGCCCATCTCCCAGCTCTTTATACATCCGGCTTCTGGTAATTCAGGCCCCAGTTCAAATGTTATGTCTTCAAAGAGGCCAGCAACCCACCACAATTACCTTCCCCAACATAACCTCCTTTTGCTATCTTCATAACTCTCACTTCTTTCTGATAGTATTCATTTTCTTGTCTGTTCTAACATACCTACCCCCCAATATATCAACTACACAAGGATAAAAATCTTTATGCCCCCCCCAGCATCCCCCAGTGCCTAACACAGTACAAGGTAAATAGTTGAAGTCAATTAATACTTGTCAAATGCAGGTGAGATTAAGGCTTGGGAATCAGGCCATGATTAAATTTTACTTTTACCCTCCTCCAGCTATATATACTCTTTGGGCCTCATTTCCCTCCTCTGTGAAATGGACATATCACATAGATGTGTAACCGGATGGAAATAGTGCAAGTGAAGCCAGTAGCAGGGATAAGGCTAAGTAAATGGTGGCTTGGGTTACTATTATTAGTCTCCTGAACTAGGGTTCAGGAGCCCTTTCCTTACTTCTGTAGAGCCACACTTCCACCAAGATCTGAGTAAGGGGCAGCCCACTCCCCCACAATGTCTACAGTACTAACCATTCAAGGGTTCACCTCTTCACCTCTTTATACCTCAAATGCCAGCTGGCTTTGCAGTCCTCTCCTCCCCAGCACCACCTGGATGCTCAAACTCTGGTCCTTTAATTTTTCTCCCCATTCCTGGTCCCTCCCCATAGGGGTAAGAATTGCCCACTAACCATAGCTTCCCTCATTGGGGAGATGGGACCAAGTGCCCATGATGTGGTGACTGGACATTTCTGGCTTCTGCCAGCACTGGCTTCAGGGCTACCCAGCTTTGAGTCTCACTGGCCATTTAAGCCTGGACTTTAGGGCTCTGTTCCCAGGATGGAGGAAACTCTGGCCTCTCCCAGGACTGGAACGCCCAGAGTGTGGCATGAGCACACAAGCCCAGCTGCAGTTCGTCACCATCTATGGAAGAGGGGGGCAAGCCCAAAGGTTCTAACAGCTTTTTTTAGCCAGGCCCGCTGACTCACACCTTCCCGGCTCCACCCTAAAGGGGCCCCAGGGCCCAGCCCTTGCCCTGAGAGTGTCAGGACGGAAGTGAGAGACCGCAGGCTCCCAGCTAAGGAAGCAACCCGGCTTCTAGCCTTGCAACTGGCTGATGGCGGAGGGTCTGGATGATTCAGGGCCAGGGCTCTGGGTATATGCTGTACTCTCGCCACAACAGGCCCACCTCTGCATTCCCAGCGCCATGCGCAATAATTATCTGAGCCCTGAACACCTCCAAAAAAGTGAAATTAATGAATGGGTTGAGAAGCAGGAGTTAGCAAAGAGAAATGGAGTGGGGAGAAGGCAGGTCGGGCTGAGGACGGGCAGAGCAAAGACCTCTCCAGAGGCATGAAAGAAACAGCTCTATCAGTGGTTGCAAGAAGAGACCCTTCTCAAACCCGGATTGACCCTCCCCCTCCTTTACTGGGTGGACTCGGGAGCCCCACCTAGCCTAGAGCACCTGGCAAGTCAAGACGGATTGGACCGATTTATTACCTCCTCCGCCCAAAACAAGAAGTGCAGGCTGGCGGGTCAGGGAGGGCCGTACCACTGACACCGCGAGGGGAACGCGGGCTGGTTGACTGAGCAGCAGGAGGGGGGACGAGGCCAAGTAGTAGATCTGCTTGTGATGCTAGTGCGCGACTCACTGAGCACGCCAAATCCAGGTGGGGCAGTACCAAGTGAGCACCCAGCCATCAGATGATGCTCAGTGCCTCCACCTTCCAGCTGCCATCTCCAGGGAAAGCTGCGCGGACCCTGGGACACCTAGGGCCCTCGAGAGCCGTTCCTCGCTTGGCACCAGCCAGGGTCCTGGGGAACCTGGGGATGCGTCGTCGGGGTCCTCCATGCAGCGTTCAGGAGGAGAAACAGAAAGACCCTCAGCTGCCCGCTCTGGGCTAGGCTCTGGGCTGTCCTGGGTCTTGGGGGTCATACGGGATCGAGGTTGCTGAAGTGCATAAGCGCCGGAGCTACGAGACCTTGTCACCTCTGGTCCCTCAGGATCTGGACTACAATCTGGGGATGGTAAGAATACAGATTAGATTGGGCGACAGGGTGGGATACAGAGAGCTGGGCCCCTTGGCCGAGGGTGGCCAGAAGACTCCAAGTGCTGAGGGAGACAGAGACCCCCGCCTCTTAGAAAACCTTCCATCAAGGACTGGACACGTCCTTCAGGAACAGACACCACCTCTAACAATTCTTTCCAGAGACCCCGCACCTCCTAGATCCAGAACACACCCCTCAGAAATCATTTCCCACACTCCCCAAAGGAAATCAAACCCTGACCCTCGCGATGCCAAACCCCTCCCATCTAAGTCCCCAGACTCTCCCATTATACAGCCCACCTTCCTCTACTCCCAACCCTTTCCCTTATGAATCCCTTGTCTTTATGAACTAGACCCCCTACCCTCTGCATCCTCATCCCATCCCCTCCCCTCTAACCCCTCCAAGGACCAGGACCCTTCCTTCTAACAACTGTTTTTACCCCAGACCCTTTCCTTCCTCCACCCTCCCAGTATCTCCAGAGTCTCCCCTCTGAAATCCACCTTTACTCTCATCCTGGGATCCTCCCTTTCCCACTCCTACTTTTGAGAATGCTATGACCCCCTCACAGACAGCAAACCCCTCAAACCCTCCCCACTGAGACCACCAAACTCTTTTTACCCAGGACCCCAGCCTATTACTCTGGGACCCTCTCCTTCCCCTCACAGATCCCAGAAACTTCTCCTCTGGGAAACTCACCATTTCCTTTCCGGAGTCCTCCCCCCTTCTCTGTCTTAATGGGGTGGGTCTCAAGAGGCCTGCTCAGCATAAGGTGGAGCCGGGGACCACCTGTGCGAATCCGCTCCACGACCTGGGCATGGGTGAGACCCTGAATGGACTCCCCGTTGACTTGCAGCACAAGGTCACCAGCCTGTAAGAGTACAAGGTGAGGGATATTGCAGGAAGGGCTGATGGAGAGCACCCCGACAAAGGATGAGTTAGGGGCTAGCATCATGAAATGAAGGGTGCCTTATGGTTCACCTGCAAGCGACCGCAGCGCTGTGCTGGCCCATCCTTTAGCAGCCCGCGTATTGCCAGTGGAGTGTCCCTGGATGCATCTCGGCCTCCACTTAGTGTGAGGCCAAAGCCTGCGGAACTGCGAACCAGCTCCACACTGAACTGACCATAGGCCTGGGGTGGCTTCGAAGCACAACGTGCCTTAACCTGAGTCACCTGGGGTGGCCCGATGCATGTACCCAAGGTCTCTGACCGACGATGCTGGAGTAAGGATACAAGTGTACATATATATATTGCCAGTCTCGAGGCAGGTGGCCTCGATCAGGAGTACTAGGTGGTACCTGGGTCTGGTGTTCCACAAAAGTGGGATTAGGCAGGCGACTGTCTGTGACCTCTATGTCTGCAGAATCCAGCTCGCTAATAGCTGGGGAATGAAAGAGGGAATCCAGGGTTGAACTCCATGTAAACTACCTAGGTCCTGCCCCGTGAGTTGCCATTCTTGTCTCATTTCATTGACTTGGTTCTAGACTGCACAAACAGAATCGTCCACCCATTTAACTAGTCTCCACGCACTAAAATAACTATCCTGATCTCAACTCCTTAAATAATAATCCTGGGCTTGGCTACTTGAATCATTCTCCATGCCTTCCTACCTCCCTCTAATTACATGTAGACCTTGCCCCTCAAATAAACTATAGGCCCATCTTGGAGGGTGCAACTCCAGGATTTGACTCCTGAACATTCCAGGTTCCACCCTCTAATATGGCCTATACATCTAAACCAATCCTGACAGCCCTGGCCAGTTTGGCTCAGTGGTTAGAGCGTCCGCCTGCGGTCCGGAGAGACCCGGGTTCGGTTCCCGCTGGGGGCGTGTGCCTCGGTTGCAGTTTGTCCCCAGCCCTGGTTGGTCGTGCGGGTGGCGGCCACTCGAGGTGTCCCTTTCACATCGATGTTTCCCTCTCTCTCTTCCTCTCTTTCCCTCCCACTCTGTCTGTACAGAAAATGGAAAAATGTCCTCGGGTGAGGATAAAAAAAATAAAAATAAAAAAAATAAATAAATAAACCAATCCTGACAGTTTGAGACCCTCCCACAATGCATTTATAGGCTCCACCCTCTACACCAGCATTCCAGGCCCACCCTTAACTAAGTCCCTAACCTCAACATTCTCCAGGCCCTGCTTCCTCAAGAATGACATTCAAAGCCTTCCTGAGGGGGATAACCATCTATCCTCTCATCCTCAACTAATCTTCCAACACTCATCTGCTACAATAACCCTCCTAGTGTCACCTCCTAGAGGAATATGATAGGATAACCCCAAGGACCCTCCCCCTCGAATCTCCCTACAAGCCCGGACCTCCTAACTCACACCTGCCACCTCAGAACCCAGCTGCAGTCCGCACCCACCCCCCCGGGGATGCCCCGACCCCGACACTCACCGTCTTTGGGGCGCAGGCCCAGTGTGGCCCCAGACCTGCGTACCAGCGCAGCCAAGTCGGCCGCAGCTCTGGCCGCCAGGGGGCGCGCGTCCAGCCGCGCCAGGAGCTGCAGGGCGCTGGAGCCTGCAGTCTGGCGAGCGCGGCGACCTTCGCGAGAGGGGGTGAAGAATAGGTCAGCGCAGACCCGAGCCTCGGCGAACCCCCACACTTCCGGACGTCTGAAGACCTGGAATGTCCCTCAGGATCTCCGGAGCCCCCTGACCACTCCTACGATAGTTCCGGAGGTCGCTCACCGTCCCTCTCATCTCCCTCGAACCCCAGCCTTAGCGGGCACGCGCCTGGACCCGCGCTGGCCTCCACGTATCCCTGGAGACAGCTCTTTGGCTGCAGTATACCTGGACACTCGAAGGCCCTGTGATTATCTTTGGAATTATCTGACTGTCCCTTCATCACCTCCGATTCCAAATTCTTACACCCAAAATACCGAGGGCGACCCCAATTCCCGCAGATGTCCCAAGAGAACACGGTCTGCCCCCTGTGGCCCCGGGACTCCCGACTCATCCTCCAGATACCCTAGGCAATCCTTGAGGCCCACGCCGTGGCCCTAGATTACCCCTCCACTTACCCCCAGAGGACCCCGCCTAAGCCCCCACAATTCACCACAGACTATGAGTGCTTAGGTTTCCCCAGTGACCCCGGGCAGACTCCTCGGCACATCTCCCCGGAGACTCCTGAGAGCCCCCGGAACTGATGCGAAGTCCCGTGGCGCGGGCGCAGGTGCGGGGCGGGTGCGGGTGCGGGGAGTCTTGAGCTCAGCCCAGATCTCTGGGCCCCTGCCTGCCGCCGCCGCCAGGGAACGAGGTTGCCTTGTTTACCACCTGTCTGAAGGGAATGGAAAGAAGCAAACAGGAGGGGTAAAGTGTGGCGGGGACGTGTCCACCCCACCCTCAACCCCGTACCTCCTCTGCTCCCCCTAGAGTCCGTGGCGCCCCCCGCGTGCGGATCCATAACTCAGAGTTGGCCGGTGGACGCACGGCCGCCAGCGACGAGTTTTCAGAGCCCGCGCGCGCTGACCTGGCTGCCCGCCCGGCCTGGACGCGGTGAGGTTGGCCTGTTCCGTGCCTGGCGCCCCAGCCCGCGTGGTGACCTACCTGGCGGCCGGCAAGGAGGACTGGCTGCAGGCCCCAGCGCTTGGCCTCGTTCTGCCTTCTGACTGGACCCAACCCTGCCAGTATTCTCGGTGACCTGATCACCACTCCCTCAGCCTCAATCCTGTTACTGTCCCCAGATTTGCAGCGCTGCTGTCATGGCTCTCTGGGAATTCCCACCCATCTCCAGGGCCCCTGCCCCTACAATTCATCCCTGAGGCTGTCCTTGGACACCGCATTCCTTCACGAAATTCCCCAGGACTAAGCATCTCCCAGTCTGGAAGATATTCCCCATCTGCCGACCCTTGAGCACCCATCCTGTGGGCAAGTTCCCTCCCCTATTTCGGAAGCATGGAAGCTTCCTAGTGTTTGGCAGCCTCCCCTCACCATCCACCCTTTCGGGACTTTCAATAATGCCACAATCTGCACGTCTGTCATATTCAGGGATCTACGGGACCTCAATCTCCTGCTCCCCAATCTCTAAGAACCTCCCTACCCCATGTACCAGTTCAGGAAACCCCCAGCCCGGGAATGGAAGCTGTCCTCTCAATCTGCAGTGCTTGAAATCTTGAGAATGGGGTGGAGCAGTGAAGGAGATCCAGTTTGTCCCTCAGACAAGGTCAGGCCAGAGGTGGGAGAGGCAGGGGACTGCAGAAAGAATGAAGGTAGAAACCATTTAGCCCCTTTCACCTATGACAACACTGGGACCCAGAAAGGTGGAGGAGAGGGGGGTTGCCCAGCCAGCCAGAATGGATGTCAGGATACAGTGCATCCACAGCCCATAGTGAAACAGTCACAGACCAAGTGAGTGTGGTGGATGAGCTGCCTGAGACCAATGCTGTTGTTACCTGGCTGCTGGGCCCTGGGCAGGTGCCTGACCCCCTCCAGCCCTCAGTTTCTTCCTCCACAAAGTGGTAGTGACAGGCTGCCTCTCAGTGTTCCCTATTTCTCCTTCCACTACAGTAGAACTATGCCCAAGTGCTCCCTCTCTGGGGCCTACATCCCCAGACCCTCACCCAATCTTTTCAAACCTCAGAAGGGCCTCATTTCTCTCATTGGCTGGTGTCCCCTCCCACCCAGGTGCCTTCAAAGCTTCCTCAAGTCCAGTACCCAACTGCCCCTTTACTCTCCTGGGGTTGTTGTTTTTTTTCTTTATTGATTTTAGAGAGAGGGGAAGGGAGAGGGAAAGAGATAGATACATCGATGAGAGAGAACATGGATGGGCCGCCTCCTGCATGCCCCCCATTGGGGTTTTGGCCCACAACATGGGCATGTGCACTGAGGGGAATCCAGCCGGCAACCTCTTGGTGCATGGGTCAATGCTCAAACACTGAGCCACACCGGCTGGGCACCTGTCCTGGTTTTTGATTCCCCGAACCCTATCAGGCTTAGGCGTCTATGCCCTCCTATGGCCCTAAAGGTTCCAAGGGCAGACCCTCCCCAGCCCACCAGTTTCCCAGTAGGGACTAGTTTAGGCAGATATTCACTGTAAGTTTACTGAGTGCCTACTATGTGCAAAGCTCTTTTGGAGACTGCAGAATTCCCAGGTAACTTGGACTCCAGTTCTGCATACCGTTTTTTAGGTTTCAGGGCTCGGACAGGGCCCTTAAGTTCTCTGGACCGCGACTTCCTCTTTTCACACGTGGAATAAATAACAACGTCCCCTGGGTGGAATGAGGACCCCAGCCCAGGATCCGGGAATAACAGAGGCACACGAGGCCAAGAGCTGGCGCCCAAGGCCAGGCCTCTTTGCAGGTTGCCAGGTAAGTCACCGTGCGGGCTGGGGCGCCAGGCACGGACAGCCCGGCCTCACAGCGTCCAGACCCCGGGCGGGCAGCCAGGTAAGCGTGTGCAGGGGTTCAAAACACGTCGCTGACGGCCGTGCGTGCACCCGGGTAATTCTGGGTGATGGAACCGCGAGCGGGGGACGCCACAGACCCTAGGGGGAGCAGAGGAGGTACGGGATTGGGGGTGGGGTGACACGTCCCAGCCACACCTTGACACTCCTGTCTGCTCCTTCCTGTTACCTTCAGACAGGTGGTAAACAAGGCAGCCTGGTTCGCTGATGGTGGCGGCAGGCGGGAGCTCAGAGATCCAGGCTGAGCTCGAGGCCCCCTACCCGCACCCGCGCCCGCGCCACAGGACTGGGCATCAATTCCGGAGGCTCTCAGAGGTCTCTGGGGAGATGTGCTGAGGGGTCTGCCCCGGGTCACTGGGAAAACCTAAGCAGTCAGTCTGTGGTGAATTGCGGGGGCTTAGGCTGGGGCCTCTGGGGATAAGTGGAGGGGTAATCTGGGGCCACTGCGCGGACCTCGAAGATTGCCTAGGGTATCTGGAGAATATCTCAGGAGTCCGGGGCCTGGGGGGGGGGGCGCAGACGGGTTCTCTTGGGACATCTGGGGAAATCAGGTATTTTGGGGGTAAGAGTTTGAAATTGGGGGTGATGAAGGGGCAGTCGGAGAGTTCCAAAGATAGTCACAGGGTCTTGGAGTGTCCAGGAATACTGCGGCCAAAGAGCTGTCTCCAGGGATACATGGAGGCCAGAGGGGGTCCATGCATGTACACACGATGGCTGGGGCTCCAGGGAGATGAGGGACAGTTGGCGACCTCCGGAACCATCGCAGAAGGGGGGGGGGGTGGCTCCGGAGATCCTGAGGGACATTCTGGATCTTCGGACATCCTGGTGGTCACAGTTGTGGCCAACGTGGAGGCGCTGGTACATAGGGCTGGGGTCACCCAAGGACCTTGCGTGTCATTGTTCCCCACTGGACTATGAGCCTCTAGAGAGGAGTTCTATTTTATTAGTTTTTGAACCCAGAGTTTATCGAATATTAAATCTTACATCAGTAGGCATTATTTACATTTCTATTATTTATTTATTCTTGTTGTTAATCCTCACTGGAGGATTTTTTCCCCACTTATTTTCATTTTTATTTTATTTGTTTTTTAAGATGTTCTTTTTAAAAAATTATTTTTTCTTTATTGATTTTAGAGAGACGAAAGGAGAGAGAGAGAGAGAAACATCGATGAGAGAGAACATCGATTGGCCACCTCCTGCACACCCCCCACTGGGGATCAGGCCCACAACTTGGGCATGTGTCCTGACTGAGAATGTACCGGTGGACCTCTTGAGCCACACCACCGGGCTCCCCATTGATTTTTAGATAGAGAGAGAGTGGAAGGGAGAGAGGGAGGGAGGGAGGGAGAGAGAGACAGAGAAACATCCATGTGAGAGAGACAAATGGATTGGTTGCCTCCTGCAGGTGCCCTGGCCTGGCCCGGGATCCAACCTGCAATCCAGCTAAGTGCCCCTGACCCAGAATCAAACCTGCGACCCTTCCATGTGGGCTGACGTTCTAACCACGGTGCCACATTGGCCAGGGCTATTTATTCATTTTTTACATGTCCATTATTTATTATTGTACACAACTGGCATTCATAGATTTAAAAAAAATTTTTTTTCTTTATTTATTTTAGAGAGAGAGAGGAAGTGAGAGGTAGAGAGAGAGAGAAACATTGATGAGCGAGAACATCCACTGGCTGCCTCCTGCATGCCCCCCACTGGGGATGGGACCCACAACCTGGGCGTGTGTCCTGACTGGGAATCAAACCAGCGACCTCTTGGTACATGGGTCGATGCTCAACCGCTGAGCCATACCAGGGGGACCACAGATTTTTTTTTCTTAATTATTTATCTTACCTACACTTCCCACATCAGTAGGACACAGGAGCCCTGGCCGGTTTGGCTCAGCGGTTCGAGCGTCGGCCTGCGGTCCAGAGACACCCGGGTTCAGTTCCCGCTAAGGGCACGTACCTCGGTTGCAGTTTGTCCCCAGCCCTGGTTGGTCATGCGGGTGGCAGCCACTCGATGTGTCCCTTTCACGTCAATGTTTCTCTCTCTCTCTTTCTCTTTCTCCCTCCCACTCTATCAACAAAAAAATGGAAAAATGTCCTGGAGTAAGGATTAAAAAAAAAGTCAACACGAAGGAATCAGTACCGGGCAAGAATGAGTCCACTTCTTACCACGCCCACCTCCCTGAAGACGTACATTTCCCTGTATACTTGGTGCTACGCACTTCTCTGACGTAAAAGACTGACAATTACTTCCCATGACCCCTTACCCATAAGCCTTTGCCTGTAGATGCCGCAGTGTTTTATGGGAAAGGTAGTTTTAGGGCTCATCTTCTGGCCCCCGCAAACTGAGCCCAAACTAAACTTCCCAGCAAGCAGCGCACGGGCCTGGGAAGAGGGGCAAGATGGCGGACGCCGAAGAGGGTGGTTTGCGGCCCGCAGGCTCCTCCACCGCCCCAATTTCGTTCAGCTTCAGTCGAACGGCTGCCCGAAGACGGCTGGCCGACCAGGGAGACGGCCTGGGTGCGGCTCCGGAAGAGAAGGATTTTTTGAAGACCGTGGAAGGGAGGAAGTTGCAGAGGTGAAGGACTGGGTCTTTCATTCCTTGGAAATCGTTGCGGTGGGCGCAAGCGGGAGGGTGCAATCTGAGTTGACTGTCTTGGTGACAGTGGCCTGGAGAGCCTAAGTAGCGCATCAGGAAATTCGTGGAGGCGAGAAGGCAGGAGTTTGTAGGACAGGGAAAATTGAGCCTGATGGCTGTGGGGATTGACCAGAGAGAATACATTCTGAGAGGGAGTGTATTTAGGATTTGGAAACCCTGAGGTGTGTGTGTTCTGGAAGAAGGAAGGGAGGGGAGAATGACAGGACTCCTAGTGTCTCCACTGAAATGGTGGGGCTTCTCCGATTTTGTGTACGGGATAGAGAGGCAGACTGAGGTCGGGAGAGGCTATCATCGGCTTAATTTGGAAAGGAGAGAGCCTGAGGGAGGGACTTCCAGAAGAGAATCAACCATCGGGAGGCGGATGTTTGTCCTGGACCTCAAAAGAGAGCCTGGGCTGAAGATGGTGATTTATAGGTCATTGTGGAAGCCATGCACTGAGGACTGATTCTTCAAAGGCACAGTTAAGAGTTGGGGTGGCATGCACCAAGTGGTCCCATGTTGGATTCCCATTCAGGGCACATGCCCAGTTTGTGGACCAAATCCCCAGTTGGGGGGCTTGCAGGAGGCAGCCCATTGATGTTCTCTCTCTTCGATGTTTCCATTTCTCCCTACCTCGCCCTTCCTCTCTCTAAAATAAATTTTAAAAAAATGTTTTTAAGAGTTGGGGGTGGAGCCCGGCCGGTGTGGCTCAGTGGTTGAGCATTGACCCATGCACCAAGAGGTTGCCAGTTCTGTTATTCCTGGTCAGGGCACATGCCCAGGCTGTGGGCCACATCCCCATTAGGGGGCATGCAGGAGGCAACCAATCGATGTTCTCTATCTCTCTCCCTCTCCCTTCCTCTCTCTAAAATCAATAAAGAAAAAAATTCACTGAAGTTTCTAGAAATGGCTAAAGGGTGTGGAAAAACAGAAACATTATGATTGTTCAATTTATTGGGGGAAACAAGTTGGGGGTGGAGGAGAGAATCCAAAGAAGGCACCATCAGAGGTATGACTGGAGAACCAGACAGAACGAAGGGCGTGGTCCATGAGATTAGGGGTGAGTTTGACTCTTGTGTTTTCTCTGAATGAAGGGGTATGGCTCAGCACCCACTGACCATGCTACTCTCCCGACTTCATTCCTCTGTGTCCACATCAGTGTGAATCCGTCAGAAGCCCCCAAGGAACTCGTCATCCCTTTGATCCAGAATGACCCTCGAAGGCAGCCAACAACCCAGGCCCCTGGCTCATCCACAGATATTGAGGCCACGGCAGAAGGGGTACTGTCCCAGGCTGTGAAGGAGCTCATTGAAGGTGAGTGATTCCCCCTTTGCCTTGACCTGATGAAGGAAGAATGGTAGAAAAGTGGAAGGGTATGGTGGGACCTCATTGCTCCCTCCCATTCTTCCTTAGAATCCAAGAAGTCTCTGGAGGAAAGAGAGAATGCGGGTGTCGACCCCACGCTCGCTATCCCCATGATCCAGAAAAGATGCACCCCCAACGAGGAAGGGGCAGGCAGCGAACCCCTTGCTGAGACAGTGAGCTGGTCCCTTTAACCCCCTTCTGCCCCAGTCTTTCTTTTCCCTATCTGCTAAGCTTGTCTCCCTGCACAGAGCAGGGAAAGTCTGTGTATATACTAGAGGCCTGCTGCCTATCCCTTCCTCCTTCCATCCTTTTGAGTTTCAGGAACACCAAGGAGACTGATGTAACTGGAATGGAATGAGTGAAGGAGTGGGGTAGTAGATGAGGTCACAAATGGAACTTAAACCAGGCAGGCCCTCGTGAGCCATGGTGAAGACTTTGAAATTTACTCTGAATGAGATGAGAGCCATGAGGGGTCTCTGAGCAGAGAAGGGACAAGACTTATGATTTGACAGAATTTCTCTGGCTCCTGTGAGCAGAATAGACTGTAAGCAGAGATGGAAGCAAGGAGACCAGTAGTCCAGGCTGCAGATGATGGAGACTGAGACCTGAGTGGTAGAGACTTGGAAGGGCAGGTAGGGTTTAGTGAGGAAGGTAACAGCAGGGTGAATACTCCTAATGGCAGCAACAATCCAGATAATGGCACGATGGCAGGAAATTGATGTAGTATGTGTCCAACAGTGAGGCAACTTTTGTGTGTGGAGTGAGTATAAAGAATTGAGGGAGTAATGTTGGGAGGTGAGACCATGAGAGGTGAGGGTTGTATCTACGAAAGTAACCAAGTCTGTCTTTCATACCCATTGACCTACTTTTTACCTCTTCATTCACAATTTTTTTTAATAAAATGTTTTCTTTATTGATTTTTTATTTTATTTTTTGTTTTGTTTTTTTCTTTAGGTACGTGCCCCTAGTGGGAACTGAACCCGGGACTCTCTGGTCCTCAGGCCGACGCTCCAACCACTGAGTCAAATTGGCCAGGGCTTTATTGATTTTTTTTAGAGAGAGGAAGGGAGAGGGAGAGAGAGATAGAAACATTGATGAGCGAGAACATCAATTGGCTGCCTCCTGCATGCTCCCCACTGGGTATTTGGCCTACAACTTGGGCATGTGCCCTGACCGGGAATCAAACTGGCGACCTTTTGCTGCATGGGTCCATGCTCAACCACTGAGCCACACTGGCCGGGCTTCATTCACAATTTTTTTTTTTTTGCAGTGCTTTGTTTTTCTTTTGAAATTTTTATTTATTGATTAGAGAGAGAAAGAGAAGCATTGAGTTGTTATTTCACTTATTTATGCATTCATTGCTTGATTCTTGTATGTGCCTTGACTGGGGATTGAACCCACAACCTTGGCATATCTGCACAATGCTCTAACCACCTGAGCTACTTGGCCAGGACTGCAGTACTTCTTTGGAGCCTTGTTTTCTTACAGCTCCAGATCACCATCTCTTTTGGTTGAACTGTTCTTATCAGCCTTCAGATGTCCTCTGGTTTCTTTCATCATAAAAAGAAAAAAAAAAGACTTTCACTTCACTCTCCATTCTGTTTTAGCTTTGGCCTCATTTCTCTCGTTTTCCCTCCTCTTGCAGCCTTCCACATCTCAATTGATCACAGTTCCATCCATCCTCCCTCTTACTCAGCCTAAAAACTTTATCATCACCTTTGATTCCCCTCTTTATTTCATACCCCATATATAATCTGTCAGCAGAATCCTATCATCTCCCTTTTCAAAATATGTCTAGAATCTGACCACTTCTTCCCATCACCACTACCAGCATACTGGTCTGAACCACTAGCATCTCTCATCTGAACTATTACAGTTACTTACTAGCTGGTCCTCTGTGTGGCTGCCACCCTCTTGTGATTCCTGCCCGGCTCTCTTAATTACTTTCTTACCACCCCTCTCTGCCTCCACATCTTTGTTTCAGTCAGGTTGACTTTCATGTTGCTTTTCACACATACCAGATTTTGTCCTGCCTCAGATCTTTTTTTTTTTTTTTCCTCACCCGAGGACAGTTTTCCATTTTTTGTTCAGATAGAGTAGGAGGGAGAGAGAGGAAGAGAGAGAGAGAGAGAGAGAGAGAGAGAGAGAGAGAGACATCGACGTGAGAGAGACACACCGAGTGGCTGCTACCCACACAACCCAACCAGGGCCGGGAATAAAACGCAACGATGGCACATGCCCTTAGTGGGAACCGAACCCCGGTCTCTCTGGACCACAGCCGATGCTCTAACCGCTTAGCCAAACCAACTAGGGCTGCCTCAGATCTTTTGCTCTTAACTGTTCTCTCTGCTTGAAACACTCTTTAAAAAAATTTTTTTTTTCTTTATTGATTTTAGAGAGAGAGAGAAATATCGATGAAAGAGAACATCAATTGACTGCCTCCTGAATGTCCCCCACTGGGGATTTGGCCCACAATCTGGGCATGTGCCCTGACCAGAAATCAAACTGGTGACTTCTTGGTGCATGGGTCGATGCTCAACCACTTAGCCACACCATCCAGGCTGCTTGAAACACTCTTCTTTCTCATATCCTCATGGCTCCCTGTCATCTCATTCTGGTCTCTGCTCAAAATATCAACTCAGTGACACTCCCTTTTTCATCTTTCTCATCTCCTTAACCTGCTTTATTTTCCTTTGTGTAACTTATCACTACCTGACATATGTTTTATGTATTTTGTTGCTTCTGTGTCCTATGATTAGAACATAAGCCCCACAAGGTCAGGAGTTTTGTTCACTGCTTTATCCCTAGCACCTAGAATAGTACCTGACACTGAATAGGTGCTTTGTAAGTATTTGTTGAAGGACTGAACTGGAGGAGTAAAATGAGGGATGGCAAGAGGAAATCAAAAGTTACCTTAAGCTGACTGGAAAAGAAGCATTGAGGGTCACCTGGTAGGTGATAACAAATGCACTTCAGAGGGCCTGCTACCATAAGCAAAGCCTGACTGTTCTTCCTCCTGAACCCGTAGGTGCCCAAGGAGGCTGATTACGAGGCAGTCCCTGTGGAGGCCTATGGGCTGGCCATGTTGCGGGGCATGGGCTGGAAACCTGGCCAGGGCATCGGCCGCACCTTCAATCAGTGAGTTCTGGGGTAGGGCCATGGGGACAACAGGTAGAGCAGTGAACGAGACCACTGCAGTTACCCGCCCACCCAGAACCATCTAGGCCTGGGAAGGGCACATTACCACCCTAACCAATTCAGTAGTCTCTGCCACTACTGTTTCAAACTCCTGTTTGCCCTTTAAAACTCCATAAGTGGATCCCATTTATGGAAAGATTGCCTCTCGGCATCATCTTCCTTATATGAAAAATGAGGATAATAACAGCATTGACTTCCTAGGTCTGTTGTGAGAGTTAAGTGTAATTATACATGTGAAGCACTCAGTAGGTTCTGGCCCCAAATAAGCATAGACTATTATCACACAGACTTAGAATTCCTTCTCCACAGTTCTAAACACCAAAGAATTCTGAAAACCAAACATTTTTTTCGTAAACCCTTTGGCAGCCAAATGTGACCTGAATTAACATTGAGTGTTTTAGAATGTGTTTCTCCTGTTTGGTGTGAATATTTGTATGATTTAACCTATAGAAATATTAGTGTATTTGGTTATACTATGGATCCTGTGTAATAGATGACATATATATATATATATCATGTTATTAGATTGAATCAAAGAAATTGCCATTTCTGTTGGTCAAAAGCAGTCTTAACATGAGATGGGAAAGTATACTCTTGAACATTTTGAAAGGGTGGGATTTGGGTAGGGGTTTGGGGAAGACGATGGAGCATTTAAGACCATTACATCCCCCAACAAGCCCGTATTCTGTGCTCCCAACAGAGTGGTGAAGCCCCGTGTCAACTCACTGAGGCCTAAAGGGTTAGGGCTGGGCGCCAACCTGGCTGAGGTCCAGGCCCTGGGCCCCACCAGCACCCACCGCCTGCCGAGGCCAGATGGGGAGCAAAAGAAGGATAAGGAAGACCAGCCTCAAGGACTGGTACCTGGAGGAGCTGTAGTGGTTCTTTCTGGCCCTTACCGAGGCCTCTATGGGAAGGTAAAGAACCAAGATGTGCCTGGAGCCCAAGACAGGCAGCAGGAAAGATTGATATGAGGGTCAGAATGAAGAATTGGGTTTGGGGTAGAAAGGCTGGATGGAAGTCCTTGTCTTTTAGGGCTTCCCAGCTCATTGCCTTATATGGTAACTCAGGACCACTTGCTGGGCCTTTCTGAGCCTCAGTTTCTAACTAAAGAGGAGAGAATGCCACATGCCACAAGTTCTTGAGGATTAAATGCTTAAAATATGTCCAAGCCACATATTCTGGTGGGGGACACACATAGACTAGGCCTGGTCCCAGCCCCCAGGAGTCACTGTCTGGTGGGGGTGACACAGGGACCAGTCCCAGTCGTCAGAGTCAAAATCAGCTGGGAGAGACAGAAGGACCAATCTTGCTCCCCACTCTCCTGGGTCACAGTCTGCTGGGGGAGACACAGGTCAGGCCAATTAGAGGTAAGGGTGGACAGCTTGGTCCTAGAAATGGGGGGGGGTCAAGCCCACTCAATCTTTGCCTAACTTCTCCCTCTCAACACTTTAGGTAGAAGGCCTCGATCCTGACAATGTTCGGGCCATGGTTCGTTTGGCCATGGGGAGCCGCATGGTAACTGTTAGTGAGTACTGCCTACGTCCTGTCTCCCAGCAGGAATTTGACAAGAACTCCTTGGATCTCGGTAAGTGAGCCTCTTACCTAGCTAGGGGAATTGGAGAAGCATTTCTGGGGTTGATAGGGCCAGTCTTGGGGGGTGTGGGGGGTGTTAGATTTGCAGAGGAGTGGAGCATCGGTCTGCCTGGCAGGTATGCCTGGTCAGAGGTTAGGAGGTGAGAATGGAGGCAATGGTTTATTCAGTTTGACTGAAGAAAGGGAAAGGTTGATCTAGTAACCCTGTCTTTAGCCACTTTCTTTTTTAATTAATTTTTTTTCTTTATTGATTTTATTTTTTTATTTTTTGGTACGTGCCCCTAGCGGGAACCGAACCCAGGACTCTCTGGTCCGCAGGCCGACGCTCCAACTGCTGAGCCAAACTGGCCATGGCTCTTTAGCCCTTTCTAAAGGAGAAGAAACAGTTGTGGAAACCATTTTCTACCCTCAGGAGATCTATATCTATTTAGGGTGATGAACTCTTTTTTTTTTTTTTCTTTAAAGGATAATCTTTTTATCCTCACCAGAGGATATTTTTCCATTTTTTGTACAGATAGAGTGGGAGGGAGAGAGAGGAAGGGAGAGAGAGAGAGAAACATCGACGTGAAGGGACACATCGAGTGGCTGCCACCCGCACGACCAACCAGGGCCGGGGACAAACCGCAACCAAGGCACGCGCCCCTAGCGGGAACCGAACCCGGATCTCTCCGGACCGCAGGCCGACGCTCTAACCGCTGAGCCAAACTGGCCAGGGCTAAAGGATAATCTTTTTAAAAAATATGTTTTTATTGATTTTTTTAGAGAGAGATAGAAACATTGATCAATTGCCTCCTATATGCCCCCCACTGGGGATCAAGCCGGCAATGCAGGCATGTGCCCTGACTAGGAATTGAACCAGGACCTCTCAGTCCATGGGACAACACTCAATCCACTGAGCCACACTGGCTGGGCAATGATGAACCTCTCTTTTGCTAGGGAATGAGAGCAGCTAGGACGAAGGCAGAACCAGGGAGATAGGCATTTTTTTTTTTATCCTCACCCGAGGACATTTTTTCGATATTTTGTTCAGACAGAGTGGGAGGGGGAGAGAGAGAGAGAGAGAGAAACATCGACGTGAAAGGGACACATCGAGTGGTTGCCACCCACACGACCCAACCAGGGCCGGGGACAAACTGCAACCGAGCTACGTGCCCCTAGCGGGAACCAAACCCGGGTCTCAGGGAGGAAGGCATTTTAGGCATGTCTGTAGAATGGGGTAGTTTGGCAGATGGGAGATGGGTGCCAGCAGAGCTCTGCAGGACTCCTAGCCCATTCTAGGCAGTTGACTCAAGTAGTCACTGTCAGCACAGTGTGTGGTGCTTGAAAAAGGCTTCCTGAAGGAGGCCGAAATAGTTGAGAGGAAGGGGAGCACATTCAAATAGTCCAGGCAGCCCTGGCCAGTTTGGCTCAGCGGTTAAAGTGTCGGCCTGCGGTCCGGAGAGACCCGGGTTCAGTTCCCGCTAAGGGCACGTACTTCAGTTGCAGTTTGTCCCCGGCCCTGGTTGGTCGTGCGGGTGGCAGCCACTCGATGTGTCCCTTCACGTCGATGTTTCTCTCTCTCTCTCTCTCCCTTCCTCTCTCTCCCTCCCACTCTATCTGTACAAAAAATGGAAAAATATCCTCGGGTGAGGATAAAAAAACAAAAAAACAAACAAACAATCAAATAGTCCAGGCAAAGGTGTGATGGTAAGACGGGACACTTTGGTGGGTGGGAGGTGGCCTGAACCTGAGGTGTGGCCTGGAAGGAAAGAGTGAGATACTGAAGATCTTTCCTGGTTTTCCCCACAAACCCTTGAACAGGCCAAGTGAGCAAAACTTCCTCAGAGCGACAGAATGGAACAGCCTCGTCAAGGAAGACCTTTCAGGACCAGGACCTTCCCACCCGGCGGGGAGCGGAAAAAAGGAAGTGGAAACACCTTCCAGACCGGTGGGGATCTGGGATGACAGAGGAAGATAGGGGTGCGGGGAGGCTCCAGCAGTCAGAGAGGGCTTCCAGGGCAAGGCGGGTGCATAGAAGAAACTAGAAATGGTACTATGGGTGGGTTTTACAGCATCGGCAAAAGTGGGTTGATTGGAACACACATCTGACTAAGCTTGGTGTCTGCCCTGTCTCCACAGACAAGATGAACCTACATCCAAGAGTGAGAAAGCAGCCTCCAGGAGTCAGCACTGGTTGCACAGGGACCTGCGTGTGCGGTTTGTGGACAAATTGCACAAGGGTGGACAGTATTACAACACCAAGGTGGGAACCCCGCAGCCCAGGTCCCCTTCCTCTTCTAGGGACTGAGCCCCCTTCACTCTCTAACAATCTCATGGTCCCTGACCCTGTCCCCAGATGATAATCGAAGATGTCCTCAGCCCAGATACTTGTGTATGTCGGACAAATGAAGGCCAGGTCCTGGAAGGTGAGTCTGAGGGATGGCCACTGGGTCATTGTCGTCCTGAGGGCTGATCAAGAAGGCTGTCTTAGTCCAGCCGGTGTGGCTCAGTGGTTGAGCGTTGACCCATGCACCAAGAGCTCGCTGGTTCGGTTCCTAGTCAGGACACATGCCCAGGTTGTGGGCCCGTCCCCCGGTGGGGGGCGTGCAGGAGGCAGCCAGTTGATATTCTCGGTCATCGATGTTTCTGTCTCTCTCCTTCTCACTTCCTCTCTTTAGAGATTTTAGATAATAATAGGAAAAAATGTATATTAAAGAAGGCTGTCTTAGGCCAAGAGCCTGCTCAGGCAAAGGCTGGGACGCTGGGTGGCTGGGCAGAGTTAGGTTTTTTGCAAGGCCCAGCATTCTCTAACACAACATTAGACACTTGTCTGAGCCCCACTTTCACATCTGCAAAATTAACCTGTTTATCCCTATTGCGACTGATGCCTTATAGGGATGTGTATTGAGCTCCCCATACAGGGCAGGGCTTACAACATGGTCACAGTAAGCAGTGTATGTTATCACCACCACCCATTATCATCTTATGGAAATGCTCCCTTTAGTACAACTATTGCTGGGAACTGCTCCTTAGGTTTCCTCATCTGTGAAATGGGTGTGGTGGGACTCCATCTGTCAACAGGGTACAGAGTGGCCCCAGGGAATACAGGAAAGATCCTTCTGACAGGACCCTGGCTGGGATGGCCCTTGGCTATAGACCTCACTACCCTTTCTTTCTCTGCAGGCATCAGGGAAGACATGGTGGAGACCCTCATCCCCAAGATCCAGGGCCACCAGGTGATGGTGGTGCTAGGGCCACATGCTGGAAGGGTGAGTCCCAGACCTGGAAGTGGGGGGGTGGGAGCATGCAAGGGATGTCCCAGGGTCTGGGTTGGCCTAGCTGACTTCAACCATCCCTACTCTAGGTAGGCCATCTGCTGAGCTGGGACAGAGAAAAGAGCCAGGCTGTGGTTCAGCTGCGGAGAGAGAATCAGCTGGTGGAACTTCACTATGATGCTGTTTGCGAGTACATGGGCCCCACGGACTCAGACGAAGACTAACCCATGGACCCATTCTGTTCCCCAGGCAGTTACCAATTCTGTAAAATGTGAATAGCCCACCTTTGTGAAGTTCCATCCTGCACTTGCAGTGCAGCCCGAGGACAGGGACAGGGCAGGAAATGGGTAGACCAAAAGGGAGGCTGGAAACAAACCTACTATTTACTTGCAGTTCATATAAAATAAAAAACGTTTCAAATACTTAGTAAAATGAAGAGCTCATAAATAGTATACTAAGCTGTGAGTGGAGGTGAAAGCTGCACTAACTGAAATGGGGACCATTTCATTTTTTCAGCCCCGCCGCCCTGCTTGGGCTGCCAGACAGTTTAAAGGATCTATTCGCTCATGAACTCACTCTCGGAACACAGAAGCTATGTAATCTGTCCCCTACAAAGATATTATGGAGTCTGGCCCTGGCCGGTTTGGCTCAGCAGTTAGTTAGAGTGTCGGCCCGCAGACCTGGGAGTCCTGGGTTCGATTCCCACTAAAGGCATATACTTTGGTTACAGTTCGTCCCTGGCGCCGGTTGGGGTTGTGCAGGGGGCAACCAATCGATGTGTCTCTTGTGTCAATGTTTCTCTCTTCCTCCCTCTCTCCCTCCCACTCTATCTGAACATAAATGCAAAAAAAAATATCCTCGGGTGAGGATTAAAATAAAAAAGAAAGATACTATGGAGTCTGGAACACCACATCTCTGGACAATTTCCTGAGCAAGAATCTTAGCAGTGTCTTTGCTACTAGTCTTGGTCCAAAGCGGACACCCAGAGGGTATCTTGAGCCTGGTGATGGGAGTTGAAAGGAAGGGTAGCATTTACCCATGAATGGAATATGTTGGCACTACTTTCCAGAGGAACCAGTTAATTTCGTGGGCTCCATTATAGTCCTAAAACATCAGTTTGAAGGTAAAAAATCTTTCCCTCTGGCTGGGTAGCTAAGTTGGTTAGAGCATCATCCAGATACACCAAGGTTGTAGGTTCAATCCTGGGTCAGGGCACACACAAGAATCAACCAGTGAATGCATAAGTAAGTGGAACAATAAATCCATGTTTCTCTCTCCCTCTCAAAAAAATTTTTTTCAATAAATAAACATTAAAGAAAGAAAAGCTTTTTTCTGTCTCAAGTAGAATTTCTCTGGTTGCTCTAAGTTACTGGATTCTCAAAAAGGTTATTGTCAAAGAATCCTAAAACTTGTCTATTTAATGGTCTGATGTACAAAATCAATGAAGGAAGTCAGAGTTTTATGCATAATTGTTTTTTTTTATTGATTTTAGAGAGAGAGAGGAAGGGAGAGGTAGAGAGATAGAAACATCGATGAGAGAGAAGATCAATTGGCCGCCTCCTGCATGCCACCCCACTGGGGATCAGGCCCACAACCTGGGCATGTACCCTGACCAGGAGTTGAACCGGCGATGTCTTGGTGCATGGGTTGATGCTCAACCACTGAGCCACACCGGCTGGGCTCTCTTTTTAAAAAAATTTTATTGACTAGAGAGAGAAACATCAATTTATTGTTCCACTTATTTATGCATTCACTAGTTGCTCCTTGTATGTGCCCTGACCAGGGATCAAACCTGCAACCTTGGCATATCGGGACGACACTCTAACCAACTGGCCAGGGTGGCACAATTATTTCTAAATCATTTCCAGTCACTAAATCATTGATGTAATAAGTAGGATATGAGTTAGATCTAGGCCCCTGGTATAAAGTCCTGACGGGTCAGGACGTGGCTCAGTGCTGGAGAACTTAAACACCCCTAGAGCAGGATAGTAAAGGTAAGTTGCTGTCCCCACTGCCAAGCAGAGGCAGACTGCTGCTTAAAGCCAAAATGAGCTGGACAGATCAGTGGCCATGTGCCCCTAAGGTAAGAGATGATTACAAAACCTTCCAATATTTACTAACCCCAACATGAACTACACTTGAACAGACTGATTTACTTTTTTGTCATCCCTAATTCCAGAACTCATCTGTTTTCAAGATGGGCCAAACAGGCTTGTTACAAGGCAGACAGCAGGAACAAACCCCTACTCCCAGTTCCTCCAGTTCTCCAGTCATTGTCATTGCAAGCACTATCCCGGGAATGCTAGGCTTGGTTGTATTTTTAATCCTAGGTGGAAGGTTTGGGATTCTAGAGGTTCCCAATTTGGCATGTCCAGTAGTCACCTTCCTACACTATATGTCCTTAGTCCAGTCAAGAAGGCCTATTCCTTTCTCCAAATCATAATAAATCCATCTTGGTAACACCCTCAAGAAGGGCTCAAATCTCCCTGGGGAAGGGCACTAGTCCCCTGGGTATGCCCTGCAACACGGCATAACGTGGCAGTTTTGGACAATGCTTTCATCTCTTCCATACACCACGATACTCAGATCTTTTATCAGATTCTGATTTCCTGGAGTTAATATTTATCTTAAGCCTGCCTTTGAAAACAGGGCCTGAAGTTCTTGAACACTGTCCTGTGTCCAAAACACCTAGCTCTGGGCAGATGCCTGGTCCCCCTGACAGACTGCCTCAGCCTTCTCTCTTGCTTGCATAGAGCCTCAGGGTTACACAAAGGTGAGTGCTTAGGGCCTCCTCAGTTTTTTCTTGGGCATGCTTACAGCTTTGCACATGCGCATCCAGATTCCCAGGAATATGCCAGAGCTTTTTTAAATTTTTTTTGGTAATCCTCACCTGAAACATCAATGTAAGAGAGATATATCTATTGGTTGCCTCCCAGGTGCACCCTGACTGGGGCCAGGGATCGAACCTGCAACCCAGGTATGTGCCCTTGACCAGAAATTAAATCCTTGACCCTTTGGTCCTCGGGCTGACTCTCTAACCACTGAGCAACATGGGCCAAGGCAGGGCTTTTAAAAAAATTTTATCTCTATTGAAAGTATTACAGTCCTGCCCAGCCGGTGTGGCTCAGTGGTTGAGCATTGACCCATGCACCAAGAGGTCGCCAGTTCAATTCCCTTTTAGGGCACATACCCAGGTTGTAGACCAATTGCCTAGCGGGGGGTGCGCAGGAGGCGGCCAGTTGATGTTCTCTCTCATTAATGTTTCTATCTCTCCCTCCCCCTTCCTCTCTCTCTAAAAAAACTAATAAAGGGGAAAAAAAAGTATTACAGCCCTAGCTGGTTTGGCACAGCTGTTAGAGCATCAGCCCACAGACCCAAGAGTCCTGGGTTTAACTCCGATCAAGGGCATGTATCTTGGTTGCTGTTCGTCCCCAGAGGCAACCAATTGATGTGTCTCTCTCACAGCGATGATTCTCTCTCTCCCCCCACACCCCTCCCAAAATAGATGAAAAAATATCCTTAGGTGAGGATTTAAAAAATAAAATAGATGTCCCTCCTTTTTTCCCCCATGGACTCCCTCCTCCCCACTTCCTTCCTCCCACCCCTCCCCCCACCACCTTCACCACACTAGTGTCTGTATCCATTGGGTATGCATATATGCATATCAGTTCTTTGGTTTATCTCTTCCCTCCCCTCCTTTAAAAATTTTTTTTTCTTTATTGATTTTAGAGAGAGAGGGAGAAAGAGATAAAAACATGGATGAGAGAGAACATTGATAGGCCGCCTTCCGCATGCCCCCCACTGGGAATTTGGCCCACAACCTGTGCAGGAATTGAACCTGTGACCTCTTAGTGCATGGGTCAACACTCAACCACTGAGCCACACCAGCCGGGACTTTTACATTTTTTGTGTGTGTGTTAATTTTAGAGAGCTTGAGAGAAACATCAATTTGTTCTACCTATTTTTGCATTCGTTGATTGATTTCTTGTATGTGCCCTGACTGGGGATCAAACCTGCAACCTTGGCATAGCAGGACAGTGCTCTAACCAACTTACCTACCCTGCTAGGGCCTCAAAGCTTTTCTTTTTTTATCCTCACCCGAGGACATTTTTCCATTTTTTGTTCAGATAGAGTGGGAGGGAGAGAGAGGAAGAGAGAAACATCCATGTGAAAGGGACACATCAAGTGGCTGCTACCCGCACGACCCAACCAGAGCCCGGGACAAACTGCAACCGAGGTACATGCCCTAAGCGGGAACCAAACCTGGGTCTCTCTGGACCACAGGCTGATGATCTAACTGCTAAGCCAAACTGCCAAGGCCCTCAAAGCTTTTCAAAGCCCCCTCTGGACATTCCATTCCCTAGCTTTTACTTTCATGTTTATTGGTTAACTTGTTTGCTGTAACTCTTATCACCACCTCAGGCAGGCAACTGTGGTGTTAAACAATGACCACCAACTGTTATTAAAATAGCTATTCTTTTTTTTTTTAATTAATTTTTGTTACAGATGTTTCTCTTCTTTTTTCCCATTGACACCCTCCTCCCCATCCTCCCCACCCCACCCTGTCCCCAGATGTGTTGTCCTTGTCCAACGGTTATGCATACATGCATATAAGTTCTGTGGTTTATCTCTTCCTTCCTCCTCTATCCCCTCTTCTAAGGGTTGTCAGTCTATACCCTAGTTCCACGTCTCCAGGTCTACCCTGTTCCTCAGACTGTTATGTTCATTATATTCCACAAATAAGTGAGATCATGTGATATTTGTCTTTGTCTGCTTGACTTGTTTCGCTTAGGATAATACTCTCCAGGTCTCTCCATGTAGTCTCAAAGGATAAGACATCTTTCTTACAGCTGCATAGTACACCATTGTGTATATGTACCACAGCTTTTTTATCTATTCGTCTACTGATGGACACTTGGACTGTTTCCAGATCTTAGCTATTGTAAATAGTGCTGCTATGAACATGGGGGTACACATATTCTTTCTGATTGGTGTTTCAGGCTTCTTAGGGTTTAAAATGGCTATTTAAACAGAGTTCTGAGTCAGGTCAAATAAAGACAAGCCCTGTAAGGGGAGTGTCTAGGGAACTGCTCTTACAGGTTAAGAATGACAATTCTCTGGGTCTCACACCCATTAGGATGGCTACCATATATTTTTATTTTAAATCCTCACCCAAGGCACTGGCCGGTTTGGCTCAGTGGTTAGAGTGTCGGCCTGCGGTCCAGAGAGACCTGGGTTCAGTTCCCGCTAAGGGCACATACCTCGGTTGCAGTTTGGACCCAGCCCTGGTTGGGTCGTGTGGGTGGCAACCATTCAATGTGTCCCTTTCACGTCGCTGTTTCTCTCTCTCTCTCTCTCCCTCCCACTCTATCTGAACAAAAAATGGAAAAATGTCCTCGGATGAGGATTTAAAAAAAAATCCTCACCCAAGGATACTTTTTCTCAAATATCTTCAGATAGAGTGGGAGGGGGAGAGAGAGAGAAACATCATGTGAGAGGGACACATTGACTGGTTGCCTCCTGCATGACCCAACAACAGCCGGGGACGAACTGCAACAGAGATATGTGCCTTTGGCTGGAATCAAACCTGTGCTCTTTGGTCCACTGGCTGACACTCTAACCGCTGAGCCAAACAGG